TCAACCATACTTTTTAGAATTTTTACCTATACGGTGATCGAATGTGCTGCAAGGGGAACTTTCCTCCTTGAACTTTTTTCATCTCCCTGTAAAAAGTGATTCAGAAGCCCCAACCCACCTTTTTAGAATTTTTACCTATACGGTGATCGAATGTGCTGCAAGGGGGACTTTCCCCCTTGAACTTTTTTTTTCCCTGTAAAAAGTGACTCAGAAGCCCCAACCCACCTTTTTAGAATTTTTACCTCTACGGTGATCGAATGTGCTGCAAGGGGGACTTTCCCCCTTGAACTTTTTTTTTTCCCTGTAAAAAGTGACTCAGAAGCCCCAAATTACTACTACTGGCTCTGCTTTTAAACCAAGACTGACTCGCTTGTGTTATACACAGCGAGTCGTTGCTCCGTCCGGGCCGAAAGGGTTTGCTCAGCACATTCCGTTTTGGCCGGAGGTGGTGTACAATATCACTAATACTAATAACATATATTCTACATATAAAGTAACCAGTGGTTCTTACCATTCACAACAGTAATAAATATGTAGAATAAAGTTAGATAATATAATTAATGTTTATGATTAGCACTTAAATTCTTATAAGTAGTAGATAAAATTCACTCATGGAATATTGAGTAATTTATATATTGCGATTAATACATTTGCTTAGGTTCTGATGAATTTTATTATAATGTATTTGTTATAAATACGTATAATTTATGATAATGTTAACTAAATAATATTTTTATTTGAGTTCTTATGTTTATGTGTATTCTAGTGTTAATTGTTTTGTGTTGTTACTTGTTGTGATGTTTTTACATTAGATAAGAATGTAATTGATTTTATGAACAATTAATTTATGGAAAGGTTAAATAAGAATGTATTCTAATGTATTTTCTGTATTTTCTGTGGATGTAATCGAAGCTATCTTCAAATAGTGTTGTCATGAATGTTTCCCGCTTCCTGCAGTATTTGATATTATTTGAAATTTTGAAATGACATGTGGTGAGTATAATATGCCATATTGCCGCTTTATTTTTTACGTTATTGTAGGTAATTCTGTACAGTTTATAATATTTGTATTTGGTTATGTGTTTTTTTGTTTATAAATTTTGCAAAAATAATATAATTTTAATAAGATGTCAGTTGTTATCCAAGTATAATGTTTTTTGTAGTTGCAATATGAGATGAAATGCTTTTGTAACTTGCCAACTACTTCAGTTGAATGTTGGAAGTATTTTGAAATAAAACCACGAAGATTATTTGAATATTTGGTATTTTATTTAACTTTGTAAAATAATGTCTAAGTTCAATATATATTAATTAGATTTAAATTGTGATAAGCGAGATGTGACTGAGTAAATTAGCTTGTTGTCTGCTCGAATTGAGGCTGTCTGCTCGTCTGAAGGCCGAGAAGTAAGTCCTTATATTTTGTGAATTATTTTAGACAATTGTTGTCTGTATTTGGGGGAATTTTATTTTATAGTCCGTGCATTAAGTCCTTATGTTTTTGTGAATTATTACGACAATTGAAGTCGGTTGAATTTTATAGGCCGAGCAGTAAGTATTGATATTTGTGAATTTATTTAACAACAGTGAGTCTATATTTTGAGTTTTATTTTAAAGGCTGACAATAAGTCCTTGTTGTATTTTAATTATTTTATTGAAGTTTTGAGATTTTAGGCAAGAATAAGTCCTATTTTAATTTTTTTTTATTGAGAATTTATTTGATTGATTAAATCGAGTTTTATAAGACCGAGATAAGTCCTTAAGTGTTATAAAAATTATATTGGAGGAAATTAATAAAAAAAAAAAATATAAGAATATTTATTTAAATAGAGTTTAATCTGAATTCGAAATTGATATTTAATTTGAGTTAATATTTTGAAATATAATAAAGAAAAAAATAGTATAAAAAAAATATATAAATTAAATTAAATTGAAATTAAATTAATTATTTAAGATATATTTACTATATTACATTATATTATAAGATTATTTATAACAGTTAGTTATTAAATTTAATTTTATTAGAGGTAATTAATACGTTTTAAAAATATTTTACGCTAGCGTGTCAATTAAATCTTAATTCTGTTTATTTTAATTCTGATTATTTAAATTAAATTAATTGATTATGACTATTAATTTATGAGTCAAAAAGAAATTAACACTAATATAACTGCCAGCGCTACTGAAAGTGACCAATTAATAGATCATTAACTCAGAGAAGTCGCATTAATTAAATCAACAGATTCAAAAATAATAAGTAATAATGATAGTGAATTAAGTAGGGAAACAGCTACCCCTAAAGACATTAGTGACGATTAGGGCTAGGATTTATATGCAATAACAAATTGTAAAATATGCATTTGATTTACCAAAATATGCAAAAATATGCAAAAACAAATTTTTATTATTTCTAGATATATATTTTTATTATAATTCATAATTTATTATTATTACATTAAATATAAGTTTATATAATTACATTAAATATTAGTTTATATTATTACACGCTACTATGATATGTTGTTTCAAATTTTCAAATACGAACGACTGGCGATTTCAACGTAGAATAGATTTATACTGACTAAAACTCCTTTCCACATCACACGATGCTATTGGTGCATATTTGAATGACGCGATTTTCCCTGGAGTTAGATTAATATTAATATATTCTTCTTCATTTTCATATTCACCGTTTATAATTCTATGCTGTTGTTAAAACCACTCAAATTTTTAAGTATAAGTGTCCGCACATTTACGCAACACGCGTCGTACTAATGAAATTAAATACGTCGTTAAATAATGTGTAGGTAATCCTATCGGTCGTCCGACCAAGATAAGATTAGATAGGTAATATATTTTATACTATATATTTACAATTCGACGGATAAACCAAAAACTATCGGTATTATGAAATAAACGCCATTTAAAATTAACAATAATTTATAAAAATTTAAAAATTTAAGTTAAAAAAAATAAAAACTCAAAAATCTATAAATATGCAATTATATGCATTGTGTTCAAAATATGCAAAAATATGCAAAAAAAAATTGATTTTATTTAAACGAGAGTAAGCAAAATCGTGGACAAATCTGACAAACAATCAATTTGGACTTAAGGAAAAAAACATGCAAATGCATATAAATCCTAGCCCTAGTGAAGATAAATCCAACGATACGGTAATAACCGAAAGCAAGGAACTATTAATTGATTTAAGTACAGAAGAATTTTATCAATATTCCGTAGATTTCGATAGGGAAAAATTTTTAGAAGCTATTAGGGAAAAGAATTTATTGGAAAAAAGGATACGACCAGTAATAGTTAATGAAACTGAGCTACGACAAATAGGAACTCGAACACAGAAAGGAATAGTACATACACAGTTAGAACCCGTTAAGCGAATCAGTAGAACCAAAATGCCAGGAAAAATTCCATTAGATAAAGCAACTCTCATGATTCCTACTTGTACAGGAGAACGAGATGTATACCAATTTATAAAGGCTTGCGATTTAGCATGTTCGGCCGTAGAAAAAGATCACCTACCTTTACTGATGAAATTTATTAATACTAAATTATTTTACAAACTATTAAATGTATGTCGATATCGGGATATGACTGGGAAAGGGTAAAATTATTCTACTAGATGCTTTTGAACCCCAGCGATCAACTTCGTCAAGTAGCATTGAATTCCGTACGTATGCGGAACAATGAGGACGTAGGTTCTTATGCGCGTTGGGTAGAACAATTATATTTTAATCTTTGCGAAGCAAGCATCAAAAGGAAAGGAAATGAACCAGCTAATACAATTCTAGACCAATTAAAGGAACAGACATATCAGTATTCATTAAAGGGTTAATACCTAGCTTAAAAACTATAGTAAAATCACGAAATCCGGCTACTTTGGAATTAACAATCCAGATTGTTAAGGATGAGGAGACTGAACTCAAATCCGAATCCGATGCATACCAATATTATGGAAATAATAACTTAGGCAGATCAGCAAATAACTCTACCGGAAATAATAATAATTGCAATAGGCGGAATAATAATTTTAATAACGATAATCGTTATAATTATAATGCACCAAATAATAGTAGACCAATTTACAGTAACAATAGTTCTCCTAGACAAAATTATAATCCCCGAGAAAACAATAATAGTACATATGGCAGGCGACAATACAGTCAAAATCCAAATTTCAATAGACCAGATGCAAATAGAAGTAGTAGAAATAATATTAATAACAATCAATATCAACCTCGAGATAACAGTAATTATAACCGCAACAACAATTACAACCGTAATAATTATCAGAATAATAATAATGCAATGGCTAATATACAATGTTACCAATGTGGGGGAAATTACTTCGTGCGAGATTGCGTACAACACCGCAACAAATAGTCCGCGTCCATCAAATAATCATAATAACTATGCGCGACAGCCAACTTATTATAATGCTCCGGCAAACGTAATATGTAAATAATGTAAACAAGCTGGGCATGACGTTACCAAGTGTTTTAGGAAACAGAATAACGATGGACGTACTAATGGGTTGGGAAACTTGCCAAGATTGGACGAAATGAGTGTTCCTCGACCGATAAATTGAATAGCCACAGTAGAGAAGGAATTAGACGATGTCTACACATCGTGTCAGTCTTAAGTAACAATCATATTACTTGTTTTAAATAAAGTAAAAGAAAGTACAAACAAATTATTCTTTAATTCACTTACTATTTATTTCACAAACAAAAAAAACATTTTTATATAACATCCGTTACTGACTACCGTGAACGTCTAGTCGAGACTCTCTAGTCTCTACTAACATTCCGCTCAACACCAGTGTCCAGCTAGAGCAGTCTGGCCAACTCATATTTAACACTCAGCCTTTCTGCTTTAGCTATGTCCTCATAGCATATTAAACATAATAATACAAAATATAATAAAACACAAAAAAAAAAAAATTAATTAATTTAGTTATCATAGGTGTCATCAAACATAATCATCTAGCCTTGAAGGTTTCTTTCTGATCCTGTAACAAATAGTTTCTTCCCGTTGTGGAATCGATACAGTAGTTCAAATCCGCGTGCCTGAGTTTTTTCCGACTTAGCTCTCTCTTTTTCAGGTTTCTTCAGTATCTCGATTATCTCTTTGATGTCCTCATCAGCAGTTTGTGCCATCAGCACTCTTTCCTCCTGAGTAATGGTCACATAAACATCCAGTCTCTCCGGGAGTAAATAATTCAAAGTTGTGCCGTCGCTCTCCGTCACTGGCGCTCTTGACAATGCTTCCACATGTGCCATCTTATTTCCCGGCCGATTTTGAATGTCATATTCATATTCTTGTAGCAGATCATGCCATCTAGCGATTTGTGGTCTCAGACCAACAAACCAAGGCTTGACAGTCTGTAAGTATTGTAGTAAACCGACGGAGTCGTTTCCTATATATTAAATATTATAATTACATTTCTCACGATGTCACGCTCTACAACAACAAGACTAGGAATCTTTTGCAATACCTTGGATTTGACTTCAGTACGTTGGATTTGGCTTCAGGGTATCATCAGTTGCATATAGACCCTGCTGATACCCATAAAACAGCTTTTTCTACGAAATCCGGTCACTATGAATTTTTACGCATGCGTTTCGGGCTGAGTTCAGCTCCGGCTACTTTTACACGTGCAATGAAATCTGTACTTATGGGCCTTGAGGAAATGTGTACCGCATATCTTGACGACATTGTAGTACACGGATCAAGTTTAAGGGACCACCAGAAGAAATTAGAACAGGTATTCAATAGGCTGCGCATGCACAAACTTAAATTACAACCTAATAAATGTTCTTTCTTAAGGAAAGAAGTATTGTACTTAGGCCATGTAATAAATGAAACGGGAGTTTCCCCGGACCCAAACAAGTTAAAATGTATTCGAGAATATCCTCGACCGAAAAATGCAAAGGATATCAAATCATTTCTAGGACTACTTAACTATTATAGACGTTTCGTCCATAATTTTGCGAAAATCGCAAAACCACTAACTTACTTACTTAAGAAAAACGTACCATTCGTATGGACCGATAACCGCGAACATAGTTTCGAGGAACTAAAAAAGGCTTTAATGAACCCACCATTACTGGTCTATCCAGATTGGAAAAACGGGGAGTTCAACTTAATGACCGACGCGAGCCAATATGCAATAGGGGCCGTCTTGTCACAAGGGACCGTTCCTAAATACCAACCTATCGCATACGCGAGTAGGATATTAAACAAAGCTGAATGCAACTATAGCGTTATCCAAAAAGAATTATTAGCCATCGTCTGGGCCGTAAAATATTTCAGACCTTATTTATATGGTCGTCATTTCAACATTATAACGGACCATCGACCATTAACATACCTGTTTGGTATTAAAGACGCATCGTCGCAACTTATGCGCTGGCGGTTACAGCTAGCCGATTACGATTATACTATTACGTATAGGGTGGGACCCGAACACTCGAACGCCGACTGTTTATCGCGTATAAGAATAATACAAACGGAATCTACGAATCTCGATATCGAGTTCAAGGACTTCCGTACCGCCGAGAATAAGCCAATATTTAATTCTAAAATTCTCGAGGTTGAGGGCGACGTTAGCAAGGTCACGGAAAGTGAAAACATTATAGTCACGATTCCGGAAGACAAAATTATTACGCATCCGACGATACGTGCAATTACCGAAAATATTGCTTTTAACGAAATACAGTTTACCGACGAAAACCGGTTCGGTACTTACACCGATGGTACAAAATTAATTATATTTTATAGCATTTCCAAAACACACACAGTACCGTTGGAGGCGGAAACTATTTATAAAGCCATATACAATATTCGTGAATATTGTATTGTGAATCAAATTAAATCCTTTTCCACTGTCAAAATAGACGGACCTACCTCATTAACAAACTTCTTAAGAATTCGAACGATGTTTCGGTACGTGTTTCGTTCGACCAACATCGTAGTAAAAATATATACGGGTGAACGTTTTACCGACGAGGAAAAACAACACATTATTTACGAGCACCACGATTCACCTTTGGGCGGGCACTCCGGTGTATCACGCACACTAAAGCGATTAAAACTTAACCACGACTGGCGTAATATTAAAAAAGACGTTAAACGTTATATTAAACATAGTGATAGAAAAAACGAAAGTATTGTGCGTTGAATACATGCACGACCCAGTACAAAATAATTTTAATTGTAACAATTTACTTCTTTCAGCTACCGCTATAGTTGAAAATTTACACAATAAAAAGACACAGGTCTTAAATTCTATTGGACACGTAATTACTAAACGTAGCGCTTTAACTAAACTCGTAACAAAAGCAGCTAGGTTAATATACGGAATATGTAATTTAGAATGCATACAGAAATTTAATTTTAATATAGGAGTAGCTAAAAACACATCACAATCTAAATTGATAAAAGAACAAATTAAGGTAGTAGAACTACAACATAATTTAGAACCACACGACAATATAACTATGCTGCCATTGTCATTATCCGTGAACGAAACAACAAACATTAAGAGAGACCAACAAATAAAAAATTATTTAACAAAACATTTTATACACGTTAACTTATTAATTACAAAGCATATGTTAGAAACGGATACGATATTAGAAAGTATACAACAAGCAAAAATAGTAGTTATACACCCAAGTTTAATAACTCCACAAGAGTTACTAGAACACGTCAAAGACATTAAAGTATATTTACCAGGGGGGACTGATTTACCCACTGACCTAGACATTGCTAACATTTACGAACTGGTGAAACTCTCAGATATTTATATTTATTATGCTAACGACAACCTAGTTTTTACAATATCTTTACCATTAATTTATCAAAACGACTTTATTTTATATAATTTAATACCTGTACCAGTATGTATTGACAATGATTGTGTTTATATAAAACCCAGTAATAAGTATATAGCTATAAGTAAATCTAAAGAACATTATGCAACTTATGACGAATTTTACTACACTCATTGTAAACACGCTAGAGATTTCCTATTATGTCCTGAAGGTAATCCTTTACATCCTCGTAATATACGACCCACATGCGAAGTACTATTATTGCAGGATCCAGACAAATTTCCGAACAGTTGTGAAGTAATGCATGTGCAAATAGGTACAACTATCTTCCATAAGAAGAGATTCAAAAATGACTGACTATGACGTACTATTTGTTACCTGTGATGAAGACAAGGAATCAACTAGCCACACACTCAAAGGAGTAGGAATTATACATCTAAACGAAACCTGCAAAGGTTACGCTACTAGAGACATACTGATACCGGGTAAAGTTGACTACAAATCCGAGTATATGGACTTCAACCCACGGTCAATAATAGATCGTAATCACTACTCACCACGCTTAGAGACTAACAATTTAATGGAAGACTATCATGTCAAAACAAATAACATGGAGGACCTAAATACAGTGTCAGGTTCGAAAAAACAATAGGAGAAACAACGCAAGGTCGACGACAGAATCGACGAACTTAAAAACTCACTGGAACTGAATAATTACATACTTTATGTCATAGCAAGTGTAATTTTTATGGCAGTAAGCATTTTTATTATAAATAAGATTAAATCTAAAACAGACTACACAAAAGTAGAGTCACCAGAAGAAACACAACCACATGGTGCGAACCAAGAAGCATCGCTAAGAAGCGTCGACATAGTCGAATTTCCACTCGCACCAAGAAACAGCCCTACTGGCTATCCACAACTTCGTACATTCTTGAACTAAGGGAAGTCGGAGACTTCCATCTTCGAGGGGAGAATTGTAATAAACCGACGGAGTCGTTTCCTATACATTAAATATTATAATTACATTTCTCACAATGTCACGCTGGACAACAACAAGACTAGGAATCTTTTGCAATACCTTGGGTTTGACAGCACAATTAAAACTTATCTTTTTCAAACCTTGGATTTGACAGAGCAATTACAAAATTAATCTAACGATTAATTTGCAAATCTTCACTTTGCCAAAATAATGCGAAAACAAACTTATTAAATTGCCAATCAACCACTCGGGTCTTTTGGCAATAACAACATCTAGCTCCAGGCTCCTTTCAAATATCCATCCCCTAGACTCTACCGTGTACGTTTATATCCGCATAGATTTCATATAAATATAAGATGATGTCTATTGCAAAATTAGAATTGGTTTAGAGTTTGCACTACGTACATACTGTACGTAACAAACTTTTCGGGCAGATGCTTTTCGCTCTGTCCTCAAATTTATATTACACTTAATTGTGATCATTTACTTTTTAAAAAACGTTAATAAAACTACTTATATCTAACTTGTGTAACTTGTCTCTGCAACCTTTTCTCCTATTCAATCATCAACGTCGTCGAACTCAAAAATAAAGCGTTAGTGAGGGATCACTACAGTATTGTAAATTTAATGCCTAGTAAAAAATTATGCCACTTATTCACCGCCCATATCACAGCCATTAATTCCAATTTTCCTGAGTGGTATTTTGACTCCGACTCAGTTAACTTTTTACTGATAACAGTACACCAACTTTGGTGCTTCACCGTCTTTGTCCCGTTGCAACAGCATTGCTCCTATTCCCACCGAACTGGCATCTGTGTGTATTTCTGTTGAAAAAGCATTTTGGTTAAACATTTTCATCACCGGTTTACTTACCAGAACACCTTTTAGTTTATCAAATGCTTCCCGCTGTGGCTCATTCCACACAAATATTGTCCCAGCCTTTGTCAGGTTTGACAGTGGTAGCGCTACTGTGGCATAGTTCTCCACGAACCTCCGGAAGAAGCCTGTTAACCCTAGGAACCTGCGTACTGCGTGAACGTCATTCGGAGTCGGAAACTCTTGCACTGCTCTAGTCTTCGCATTTCCCGGACATATTGTTCCTCCACCAATGACAAAAACCCAAAAATTCTATGTGATTAGCACCCAGTGAACACTTGCCTGGTTTTAGAGTCAGATTGGCAAAACGCAATCGAATCAACAAATCTTTAAGTTTTTCCAACATTTCCGTCCAACTGGTTGCGTCAATGACCCAATCATCTAGGTAGTTTTTAACAACAGTATTGCGTAGTTTACCTAACACACGATGCATTAGTCTTGTGAACTCTCCAGGTGCGCCCGCCAACCCAAACGGCATGCGTGTGAACTGTCCTGTGTCGTCAGGCGTGACGAACGCAGTCTTCTCCTGAGAGTCTGCGGTTAATGGTAATTGAAGATAGCCAGTCACCAAATCCAACTGCACGAA